CCAAGCCACCAAAACAACTTCACAAATATTTAATAATGGAGACCCAATCAATTTGGCACCAAACAACCTCATAAACATCAACTACAACAATGGCAAACATAAAAGAAAGCAAAAAAAATTCAAATTTTTACACTAATCCTAACTAGGGTTTAGTTGAAACTAATAACTTAACAAAATACACTACTTAGAAGAGAAAGAAACAGAGAGAGAGAAGAATAACTTACTTGAGTTGAAGAGAGGGAGAAGTGGAGGTGTGTTAATGGAGGTTGGGGAGGAAGGGGGGGGGGTGAAGAAGAAGGAAGAGAAGAGACATTTTTTAAGAGAGAAGAAGAAAGAATGGGAAGAGGGGGAGGGGCTGAAATACGGGTGTGGTACTAGAAAGGGGGGGGGGGTTGGTGAGTTTTATAGGTTAAAAAGGTTTTAAATTTTTTTTTAACTTACTACTTACCTGGCCGCGTCTGGGGCTGCCGCGGTCGCGGTAGAACCGCGAGCAGTGAGGTTCAGAGAGGCCATTTGACCGCGNATCTGTTCTGGAACACCGTGGTGAGGACACATAACCAACATTCCTTTAAACCTGCCCCATGTCTCATGTAACGTCTCCATTGGTTTCTGCTTGAAGCTTACGATCTCATCAATTTGTTGAGCAGTTTTGTTGGGCGGGTGGAACTTGTTGTGGAATTGCTTGACTAATTCATCCCAAGTTTCTATAGAGTTGATAGGGAGTGAATTCAGCCAAACCTGTGCAGCTCCTGTCACCGAGAATGGAAACAATAATAGCCTGATTGCTTCCGGAGTCACGTTGGGTTGCCTTTGTGTTTTGCATATAGATAAGAAGTTCTTCAAGTGCTGCTGAGGATCTTTTATTTGTGTCCCAGAAAAGAGTCCCTTGTTTTGCAACAAGTGTAGCATATTGTTTGTGATCTGGAACGATTCAGCTTGTATTGCGGGCACAATAATGGCAGTAGCCAGATTGTCAGCTGTTGGTTGTGCCCAGTCATATAATGCACCCTCAGGCACAGGAGGTGCCCCTTCCCTGGCATTTAAGCCAGCTTGCTCATTCCTGACGTTTCCGTTGGGATCGTTTACGTCTCCCATGTTAATTTCGATTTTGAGTGTTTGTTGGGATTGTTGAATTCTTTTGTTGGCACGGTTCAATACCCGGAATGTTTGCTCGGGGTCTGAGAGTCCTTCAAGTAGTTCTCCAGTCCTCGTAGACTTTCTAAGCATACACCTGAGCACCCAAGTCAACAACCGTTAAATTTTCAATAAAAAATTTGGTAGAGAGAAAACTGACTACAATAAGAATCTTTGTATTTCTGTCAATGGCAATTGATAATTCCGTTAACTCCCCGGCAACGGCGCCAAAATTTTATCACGCCCAACTATGCCTTATGAAAAGGACTCTGCGGACGTTGCAAATATAACCCGAGTATTACGCCCAGGGTCGAATCCACAGAGAGTTAACCTATCAACCACTATCTTCAGACCCACTAATTCTTCAGAACCAGCTTCCCAAATATTCAAATCTCAGTTGAATGTTCTTTAACAACTACGCTTGCAAGTAACTAAATGGCTGTAAACTAAACTAATAAGGTTGTAAACAATTATGATAAAAAGCTAAGGCAATGATTTCCCCTATTGATGGAATCCCTTCTGTTTATGCTCATACAAATTTACCAACACATCTCTATCAATCATGAACGCTAATCTTACCGTAAATCTCTCCCGAGTAATCACAGTAATTTACTATTGCACTCTCCCGAGATACACTAGCTTACTTTATTTAGCACGATTCACTTTAAATTACACCCAAGGCTTCGTTATCCCTAATCCCGCCTTTAAACCCGCAATTATAGATTCCTCTAATAATCTAGGAGTGGTGTTGTTCAACAATACCCTAAATATGCACTCTTTTCCAAGTTATGCACACTAAATAGGCACAGCTAATTGAGGATCCTGTCAATTAACTACAACAAACACGAAGTTGAACAAATAGAGATTAAACTAGCAATTCGTATTCACATAAACAAGAAGTTCATCACCCAATAAGTTCCATCAAAACCTTAGACAAGGAATTTAGCTACTCATGGCTATGGGAAAATAAACTAAGATAGAATTCATCATAAAAATCAAAAGTAAAGAAGAAAGATGTTTGGAGTATTCTCTCACAATGGTTTTCCTTTCTAAGAGACCCTAAAAATCAATACCTCCTCTCTTGGGCGAAGTCTAATGTTTTAAATAGGGTTTAGGTCTAAAAATCCCGTATTTGACACTTTGACCCCTGAACTTTTCTGCGCCTGCCGCGGTCGCGGTAGAACCGCGGCCAATCACCCTCTCTGGATCTCTAAAGTTCTGAAGCTGCCTTCCATCGCGGTTCTGCCGCGGTCGCGGTAGAACCACGGCCAAACCATTTTTCTGAATCCTAAGGGCTGGCAGGGCGTAGCTTCATTGGGAATTTACACATTTGGCCTCTTTTCTCCAATTTTGACTCCAAAACTGCTCCTTAGCCTTCCTTATACATATATCACCTGCAAATCATGAAAAGCACTAATAAGAGCATTTTGTTATCACTTTTAGCATTAAAACTACACAAGAAGGTGATTATTTAAGGTGTGATTATAGTCAAATTCACCTATTATCACTCCTCAGCCTTCAATTTCTTCGGCTCCTTCTCCTCAGCCTTCAATATCTTCCACCACTCCCCCGTCAACTCATCCAAGCTCGTATCCTCCTCCCCGGCCATCAATTTCTTCGACTCCTTCTCCGTCAAATTTTACATTTGAATTGAAGAAAAAAAATGGCAACGAAATAGTATTTGCTAGTAGAAGTTGCAATATCCGGGTTATAAAAATATCTGCAGAAATTAATTGAATGTCTTCAATTTCAACGAAATAGCAACATAAATCCATGACGAGTGAAACTTTCTTGAATCAATTCAATCTCGAATTCCACCATTGATGAAGTTTTGAAGCTTCAAAATTGAAACTTGGGTTTGGAAAATTAAAATAATTTCGAACTGGATGAGGTTCCAAAAATTTGAGAACATCTTGGGAAGCTTGTATATGAGTATTGTGATACCGGTCTTGGGTAGAGGCTTATGTTGAATTTTACCGCATTTCTATTCAGTTTTCTATAATTTAAAACTTCCGCTTATTATTTAATTCCGTTGCTTTTATATTATTGCTGATAATTGCTAAAAGAGGTAAATTGGTTAATGATAAAGTAATAAATATTTGGCTTGCCTAGCTCCCAATAGTAGGCGCCATCACGACCCCGAGGGTGGGAAATCCGGGTCGTGACAAGTTGGTATCAGAGCTCTAGGTTGCATAGGTCTCACAACTCACGGACAAGCTTAGTAGAGTCTGAGGGATCGGTACGGAGACGTTATATCTCAAATTTAGGATGATTTGGTGCAAATTTGATGTGGTTTTGGATAAAATTTCATAATGAAATTCGATATGCAAAGTATATATGAACGAATACAGTTGATACAAGTTGTATTCGTTGAGCGAATAATAATTACAGTTGATACAAATTGATTCATTGCGCGTATGAATACAGTTAACACAGGTTGTATTCGTTGCACGAACAAATATAGTGAATACAATAGTTTTTGTTGTGTTGTATTTGTGTATATACCTCTGTATTTCTGTATTTTGTGTTGAATTGCATTTTGTTGCGCGAACCAATACAGTTGTTACAGGTTGTATTCGTTGCGCGAACGAATACAGTTGACACATGATATATTCATTACGTGAAGGAATACATTGAATACAGACGCCTAGCAAAGGAAGATTTGCTACGAAATGATAAATATTAAAATAAGAGTTGTGAATAATAATAAGCTATGAAACTGCAGTGCTTTCTGAAATTTCCTCTATAAATTTAATGGGTAATAATTCAATTATTGTTGATAATAAAGGTTGGCAATGAAATCTCCTGGTCAAGCTAAGGTTAACCATTTGAGAGAGGAGAAAGCATTGGCAATAGGCCTCTAACTAAACTAGTTAATTAAACGGGTCTAGCGGTCTTCTAAAGTGGGACAAGGATCATCCATTTTGGCAAAAGATATATAGAATCTTCCAATGCTGATAACTTAATCAATTATTGCAAACCACATTCTTCGCTGTCTAGCTCGTTCTTGCTTCTAGCTACGTGTTTGCCAGTTATACCAGCAACTAATTAATTGCCTTCTGTGAATCAACAAAACAATTGTTTTTTTTCTTCTTAAAGTTGTTTTGTATTTCCCCACCACTCAATGAGATGTGCAAAAACATGTATAAAGTTATGATACTAGTATCTTGTAGTACTATATTTTACTAAATAAACACCAAATTAAGAGATATCCTGTGCTATGCTTTTTAAGGGCACCCATGCATAGAAGATACGATATATCATATTGAAAATTGTGGTTTTAGAGGCTACCAACATATCCAATAGTCCAAAAACAAAGTCAAGGTTTTGTTTTTTTCTTTCTTTTTGAGCTTTAACCAATCAAACGGAATAAATAATTTTACACTATCATATTATAATTTTTAAATGAATAATGTAACTGTTTATATTGTAAATGTAAATAGATAATCTAACAATGGTAAATTAAGCCGCCAGCGACGGCTAACTACTACCGGCCACGGCCGCCCTAACATATATAGTCAATCAGCCAAGAAAACATGTGTATAGAAATATGGGAAATTAACCAACTAACCAAATTAACAAAGATACTTAATTACTTTACCCAAAAAAATAAAAGAAGCAAAGAGGTCAGTATAATTATTTGATGCATAAAGCCTTAGATAGAGACAGTACAAGGGGGATGGAGTGGCCCTCCAAACATGTTTTGTGTATTGAAATTAAAGCATAAATTATGTAAATATACCTCTTTGAAAAGACCTGCTATTCCACAATAAAGCTTTTTGTTTATTAAATGATACAAAAAAGTAGTATAAGACATGACTTGTCTATAAGATGGTGCATGCATGCAAGAAAAAGTTTTGTGCTGCATAAACACGCAATTTCGCTAATAAAAAGGCCAAAGAGTTAGCTCATTTTTCATTGTGCTTCTCTCCAACATTTTGCATCTATTTACTCTAATATTGTGCTTATTCTTATTCTTCCTTAGCTAAATATACAGCTCTTTTTCTCCCTTTTGTAATATATGGAGAATTATACAGGATTTCAAAGAGTGAAACATGTAGGAGCTATGACTTTGGCTGCAGTGTTGCTAGGAGGAAACATTATATTGTCAAAAGTTGCAGCAGATGATGGTATGACTATGAGAGTTATGGTTGCTTATAGGTGGATCTTTGCCACTGCCTTTCTTGCTCCCATTGCTATCGTCGTTGAATGGTAATTAATTTGTCAATCTTCTTGCTTTTCAATCAATATTCCTATGCAAATTAGACTTATCACAGGCCATCAAATGATAATGAAGGTAACCTTTAATTATTTCTTAGGTGATATGATACTGTAAAATTTTTACATTGCCATCATATATAATTTTTTTTTCATAATATAATTGGACATAAAGACAACTTACGATAATTCATGGTATAACTATTTAGTATTTATACTCCCTCAAAAAGTATGACAATATTTTCTTATTAGTCCGTCTAAAAAATATTGACACATTTCAATATACCTTAATAAGAAGCATTTGCAGCCACATATATATTAGGATAGGTTTCAAATCACAAGTTTAAAAACTTTACAACTATATAAATACTATGGCTTATTTAGGATTATATGTATCCTGGAGTTTGTGCCAAATCAAACTATGATAATTTTTTTGAAATGGAGGAAGTTTCATTCTTTGTTTAAAGAAACCAAACAAAAAAAGGATTGTAAAGCAACCTTTGCCAATAGAAAAAGTTTAACTAGTGATATTTAAGGGCTCGTTCGGTACGAGGGATAAGAGATATTTAATCACAGGATTAAATTTGAGATGAGTTTATCTCATGTTTGGTTAGGATAAAAATTGTGGTATAACTAATCCCAGTATTAGTTATCTCGAGTTATAGTGTTTTTTATCCCTATGGGATGGTGGGATAACCAAACCCAAAATAATTAATTCCCGAATAATTAATTTCGGAATAACGTGTTTCCCAACCAAACAACCGCCGACATTACTAATAAAAACTTATGGGTATGTTCATCTACATGATATTGAGAAAAGAATATTTGTCCCTACCTCTCTGAGTTTCGCTTTTGACCCCGCTAAGTCTATTATATGCACTTTTAACTATTCTCCACCACATTATGTTTGTGTCCTTTATATTCTTATTTTCAATTTTAAGATACTTATCTCGGTCTTTTGCTTTTCTTCTCTGTTTTCTTACTGGTGACAAATGGATCTTTGACTATATAAGACTTTTTGGACTAGTTAACAAGATACTTTTGCCTCATTTAGTATCTACGTGACTCTATTATCTTATATACAATTGCTTTAGCTTTTAGTTTATTACGCAATAAGGTTATGTTAAACAATTACCTTGCTGAAATATCATTTTTTTTAATTAAAAGTTTATTCGGAGAAATTTACATAATGTTGGCATGCATTTAAATTTTTTAGGAAAAATACATTGTGATATTTCAAATAAAAAAATACAACAAGATGCTAATATTTGGAAAGTTGGTAAAGTATAATCTATTTCTCTTTTTAAAGAAAAAGAAATCATTATTCTTTGAGTTTTAATACAAATATTTTATTTGACAAGAAATGCTCTTGGTTTCATTTTTTGCAGGAATAAGCGGCCAAAACTAACTTGGACTGTCATTTTGCAGGCATTTCTGTCGGGGCTACTAGGGTAAGTGATGCAACTCTTGACTTTCAACAAATATAAGGGCCGTAAACATAATCTCAAAACTTTAGGGTGGATAATTGTAACACAAGATAACTACAAGGGAGATGAATATAATTCACCTAAACTATTGGGTCCAATCTGTAACTCCGTAATGAAATGTCAAGTATACTACTTTATCTATAAATTACACATAATTAAAACATGAAAGTGGGAGTTAAATTACATAAAAAGAATAAAAGATCAACTTAAAAAGGTGTTCAATCTGTTTAGGTAGGATAAAAGATATCTTGGAAAAAACGTTTATGTCTATCCCAATCCCCAAAACATATTGTCTATCTATAATGGCCATTCAGTTTGCTTAAAAATTTGCCAATAATCAGCTAATGATATCAAATAAATGACTCGTTACGCAAATATTTAAGAGATAATTAATATATTATTTTAAAACAATTACCAATCATTTATCACATTAATCCAATTGATATTCGCTGTCAACTTTCGTTTCAGATTCTCTAGACAAACTTCAGATAGTATACTTTTGGATAGGCATAATAATTGCAACATGGAAATGCTTTTTCTATGATCCATATTAAGGGAGTATAATATTATCACCTTTTAAACCAAAAAAAAAAATAGTTTTTTTAAAGGGAGGCTTGGCGCAACTGGTAAAGTCACTGTCATGTGATCAAGAGGTCACCTGTTTGAGCCGTGGAAACAGTCTCTTGCTGGAATGCAGAGTAAGGCTGTGTATGATAGATCCTTGTGATCTGGCCCTTCCTCGTACCCCGCGCATAGTGGAGCTTAATGCACCGGACTACTTTTTTTTTTTTTTTTTTAAATCTCTACTTAAAAATTGAAAAGATTCACCACCATCAAATTGTCTATTAATTGACCATCATAAATGACTCAATAATTCTGTTGATATACACATAATTTAGGACGAGTAATATGTTTTACCATAATTTTAGAGCTAACAAATTCATGTCATCTTACTTGTAATTGTATTTCAGGGGTTCGTTGTTTTCGATTTTATTTTATACAAGTGTGATATTGACATCTGCGACATTTGCAACCGCAATATACAATCTTATCCCAGCAATGACTTTTGTCATAGCAGTCCTTCTCAGGTATATATCCTGCATAATTCTTATGTTATTAGAATACTTATTTACAGCTGATGTTTGCATTAGATGACCAAACAATTGTATTAATTTAGCATAGGCATATGACAAATTGTGGCGAGACATAGTAATTAACCATCGCTAAATGGTACAAGTTTACCTAACATATACATGCCATCTTTTTAAATATTTGGTACAGTGAGTAAATCTTTACCGTGCTAATTATATGCTAACTCATCCAAAATCGACTATATAATAGAACTGAGATTGAGATTATTTCTATTATATTTTAGGGACAAGTGATAAAACTTGAGAATACAAGTATCATACAATAATGAAAAACTAGGGGAACCCCTTTCTTAGTTACCAGTTTCATATATTGTAACTTTCCATGAAAAGGTTAATTACAGCTTGTAAATAACGTAGTCATTAACATGATTTATTTTTATTCTAATGTTAATAGGTTCGAGAATTTATCATTTGAAAAAGCAAGTGGGAAAGCTAAGGTGATGGGGACAATGATATGTATTGGTGGAGCAATGGTATTGACATTATACAAAGGAATAGAGGTGCATATGTGGCCTATCAAAATTGATTTGTTACATCATTCTAACGAAGCAATGTCACACAAGAAATTACCTGCTACTTTTGCTTTGGGAATTGTACTCGCCATAACCTCTTGCATTTGTTATTCACTTTGGATAGTATTATTGGTTAGTATATACCTCCTCTACTGTCTTTTTTTTCTATTCATAATTTGAAACTTTTCTTGTGGCTTTTGCTAGCATTTTATACATGGTTAATTACTTTGAACATTTAAAGAGAATTATTAAGAGAACACACTAGATTGTATTCCTAAGGATAAGCAAGCAGCGTAACTTAGTTATATATGATATTCCGAATTAAAAATATATTAAAAAGTGAGGGTGTCAATTAAGCAGGTTGACGAAATTTGGGCATTGAAAACTAATTGTGCTGCTTTTTTTATTTCCCAATAGGCAAAGGTCAGTAAAAACTACCCATGCCATTACTCAAGCACAGCGTTGATGAGCTTAATGGGATCCATTCAATCAGTCATTTTTGCATTATGCTTCGACAGAGAAAGTGCTCAATGGAAACTTGGTTGGAACAGAAGATTATTCGTTGTTGTCTATCTTGTAAGAACACACTATTATTGTTAATGTAAAATTTTGCCTGTAAAGATTGTCGATGTTAATTTTTTTATTATTAGATAATTTGATACGCACATAAAATCTTGCTAATCTATAGTGTTGTTTATGCAGGGAACATTAGGGTCTGGAATTGTGGTAATTTTGATGACATGGTGCTCTCACAAAAGAGGCCCTCTATTTGTCTCTGTCTTCAACCCTTTAATACTTCTTTTTGTGGCACTGGCTAGTTCTTTACTGCTTCATGAGACCTTGTATCTTGGAAGGTATACTTAAATTCAATTCTTTTCTCCTATTATAAAAGTTTGATCATTTTAAATTGTAGCTAATCCTTATTTTTTCTGGTCCACTTTAGTTTATTTTTTTGGCTGTTTTAGGAATCCACTTCCAACATTATTTAACAATGAAATTGACTATATTAACCTTTACTATCCCTTTAATTTGTTCATTGAATGTATAACAGATACTCCGAGACTCTTTACTTCAAGAGCAACTTTTGAAAAAAGAAGTTAATTCCTACTTTATATCTAAAAAGATAAATATTGTGGACTATAAAAAAAAGGATAAAAAATCAATTAAAGTGAACTGAAGGGAGTATTAAATTAGAAAAACATATGTTAAACTTTTGATATCTGTTCTTATTGGGCTAACTTGTTGCACATGGACAGTGTATTAGGTGGTTTTCTTATAATAATGGGCTTATATGTGGTCCTATGGGGAAAAGGAAAAGACATGAAGGCATCAAAGTTTATATTATCCAAGGAAGCCTCCCAGAAAAATGATTTAGAAGCTCCTCAAGATCAAGGTAACATTAACTTTTAGCACTCTGACTTAAATTTGCTTTAATTCTACTCAACTTTAATTATATATATATATGGCACAATGAATGATTAGAAAGTTCTAACTAATTTTTGTGTAAAATTCTAATTATTATTAACCAACAACTAATTAACATTAATTTTGTTTAAGCATAGGGGGACAACTTACAGGCTCTTCTGCAACAATAAAGCAAGGCATGCCCCAATAGGAGTTAAAAAGTGTTTCTTGGCTATTCTTCCAAAGAAATTAGGAGTGGCAACACCATTCAAATGAAGAAAGGAGTTCTAGTTTTGTCATTTGATATAAATGTGGAACTGTCAATATATTACCTTAAATGATAATTGTAACATGTAATGCAATACCCATTAATGGGCATTCGGCAATATATAGTAGGCAAAATGATCATTCATAAGCCTTCCAACATTATTGTGCAGTCAACTTTTACAGTATCAACCGCTTTCAAGCACAAGTTTGCTCGATTATAAAACTACTCAACTGATAGGTAAACATTTAAGTTTTATGCACTAATGTAGTCAAACATATACTTGAAGAACTATCGTGTTCTTGGTAAAGAAAAATTTTTGGAAAATAAGCGGAAGAGTAGAAGGACAAAAGGTTGTTTGCCTTGCTTATAAAACAAAAGAAGCCTATTTTTGCACAATTTTTTAAAATGGGGATTGAAAATGAATAGCAATCCTGCGGGCGGAAATAGTACGGGCTAGCCAATTTTCGGACTAGTATTTGAAAATTAGCCAGCATTTGCAACATCATTGAAAAATAGCAACTATTTTATGCGAAGATTACATCTAAACAAAACTACCCTAGCTGAAACACGGAACTTTCCAGCATAATATGTATTATTATGGAGCTCCTGCATATAAACTTCCAACATATTATGTTGGAACTTCTGCATATTATGAAATTCCAGCACATTATGCTGGAATCTCATAAAAAATTCGAACTCCAGCATATTGTGTTGTAATTTTTCCGGATTTTTTAAGAATATTCTTGTTTAGATTTTAATTTTACATGAAAATGTGACTAAATTTCAATTAATTTTAAAATTGTGACTAATTTTTAATTAGCAATTATAAATTTGGATATTTTTTATTTTTTACCGCTCCTGCGGGGGACACTGCGTGCGAAAGAAAAATGTCACTAAAGAAACTTAAAAGCCCAAACAAGCAAAGCCTTTATGATGAGCTTGTATTCTAGGTCCAGCCCATAGCCCCCATCCCCTGATATCATTTATGATGTGAAATTCTGTGAAGTTCACAAATGATTTGGAGTTGGTCTTGAACTTTTGACCTTAGGTGCACAATGGGCAAAACTTTAAATTTATGGGACGTAATTTTTTACATTTGATGTTTGTAGACAACAAATTTTGTAGTACAGAAAATAAACCGCTATAAAAATAATATGAAGAAAAAGAGATTTTATTGATAAATATTTGTAAATTATTTTGTCAGAAGAGTCCTCCGAATATTTTGGTCTTACATTAGTTTCGATATCTTTTTGGAATATGAACAAAGAAGAGAAGATAGGCTCATTACATTCATAAAAAAAGATATGAGAATTTACCTTAAGTAATTGAGCGTGAGAGCCAAATGAACATGTTCTTCCTGAATATCCCGATTTAAGGCTACAGAATTTCCTGCCGCTACCATATAGTATTCATCTCTACCTGGTGATAAATAAAGCATCCGTACCCCGGTTGACCTCTCAGAAATTTCATAAAAAGGGCTTTCTAGAGATCCCCACTGACCAATCCTCGCATGAATTGCTATACAATTCTATGTATCCCTTAATTCTCTTCTCTAAAATTCTCCGTGATTCGAGGTCTTGAGAAGAGTCTTTCTCGAATGTAGGACGACGCAAACCTCCTTATAATGTATTTAATCGCCAAGAACGTCGAGTAGCACTTTGTTGTTACGGGTTGATCTCCGGAAAAAACTCCGTTGATCACTCCTTTTGTTGAAGAACTATGAACTTGATGATTGATCTCTCTGTTTATGGTTGCCTTCACCAATTGCGGAATGCTCTTCTCCAACTCTGAATGTCTTTAGAGAGTTATGTAACCCCTCTATTTATAGTTGTAGAGGATGGACAATCCAATTACATATGAACTCTATTGCTTGATTTTGATTGGCTCATAAACCCTTTCTTTCATTTATCAATAGGGCCCTGCCATGATCAGTCACTTTTCTGGGTCGGGATCGATAAGTGGAAATCATAAAAAAGAAATCCTTCTCTTCGCACCTCAGATCAAGAGGAAAGGTTGCTTCTCATAAGCTTTGTGATAAGCTTGCTTGTGATTGGCCAAAACATGTCATTTTAGACACTTAACAACTCATAATTGGTCGTTATTTTGGCTTGGAATTGCCACATCAATTAACACGTGGCACCATCTTGTTGGCTTTGAGTTTGACTGGATATGCCATGTCACTTGACTTATAGCATGAGTCTGGGCCTTAAGACGAAATGGACATTGGGCTTAAAAATGGCAAAATACATATTGTACCCTTCGACCTTGTACCTAAATCTCTCTTACACACCTATTAAATGCGGGAATAATATTACACACCAAAACTTTTAAAAGTGTGTCAATTACATACCATTTCGGTGTTTGACCACATATGCTTAAGATTGTTATTACACGCGCCAATCAGCATCTAACACGTGTCATAAATCGAGGAAAGAAAAAAGAAAAATTCTACCCCCCCTCCTCATCTTCCCCCAAAAAAAAAAACAGAAAAGAACCCCCCCTCCTCATCTTCCTAACCCCACTTCTCCACCACCACCATACTACCACCAACCCTTCCACCACAAGCACCTTCTTTCCAAACTATAGATTCAATTCTTTGCAGATTTTTAACAAGTTTTAACAACATTCATTCAAAGCTTCAAACTTGATAATGGTGTTTTTTAAAATTTATCAAAATTAATCACCAAATTTTCCGCATATTTTTAGTAAGTTTTTAGTCAACAATAATCATGAATTCAAATTAATTTTCTAGGTCATGGAATACCAAAATCAACACGACCCGATTAAATTTTCAAACTTTTTCAAAAGGTCAACTATTGCGATTTTCACAAGACCCAATAGCTCCCATTTTCTTCTTCTTTTTCTTTTTCTTCTTAGTCATGGGGGTTGGAGAGACGAAACATAAGGGGGTAGACAAAATTAGGATGGGGTTGAGGAAGAAGACATGGGTTTATATTTTTTTCTTTAATTTAAAAAGGAGATAGTTAAAAAACAGAAAAAATAAAAAAAATTAATTTCAGATGAATTTTATAGTTTTCACGGGCCTCTTTTATGTGTAATACACGCGCGTGACACATGGAAAAAGATGTGTGTAATTGGCACACTTTTAAAAGTTTTGGTGTGTAATACTATTTCCGTGGATAAAGTATGTATTTTTCCCTTAAAAATTATAAAGTGGACTAATTTAATGTAAAGTCCAAATTAATTATTTAATCCAAATAAACCTAAGATTCGAGTTTGTATGGATTATCTTATTTTATATGTCTACATATGCCCCTACTTCAAGTTTTGTCAAAGCGTAAACTTGATGAGCCTTAGCGACGAGGCTTGAAGTATCGGGTGTAGAGAATCACATTTTTTTACCGTATGAAGAATTTGACTACATGGATAAGTTGTAATATTTTCTAAAAGCGAATGACTTTAGCCAAGATTCCAACACCGAGGGATTAGCTATTGTCTGTTGGGAAAACATTAATACACATATCCTGATTTGAATAGGATACCAAAAAGTAGTGTTGGCCAAATAGCAGCTACATGTTCATAGCTACATATGTAAAGTCCAACTCCTTTTCGAACACTAATTATTTAATTAACTCCATCTAGGAGTCCAAGTATTAGCCATCCGAAACCATTATATAAGGAACCCTATGCGATCCTCGACCACCAAAAGAAAATGTTACGAGTCTCTGGCTGGGTAAGACAATCGCAGGCAGGGGCGGATTTAGGGGCGGAAGGGTTCATCCGAATTCCCTTCGCTGAAAAATTACACTGTATATATAAGGGAAAATCTATTTTTTACCTTTATATATTAAGTTTTTAACCCCCTTAACATAACCCAAAAGTGTAGTTTAGTGGTTAAGGGGTTCAGAACCTTCATAACGTCATAGGTTTAATTCCCACTAGCTACAAAAAAAAAAAATTTGAACCCCCTTCGTGGAGATCCTGATCCTGCCTCCGCCACTGATTGCAGGAAGACAATTGTACCTTCGTTGAGTATACTTTTCCTCCAAGTTCGTTTTCTCTTCTTATCTTTCTTTCTAAAATCAAGGTTTAGTTATTGCAGGTGAACAAATTCTGGAATTCATGACGTGAGAAAAGACAATGACACTGCAACACCAATGACCTTTACAAAGTTCAACTCCAGAGTATTTGGCTCATTTCCTATGTAAAACTTTTTTTCTTGTGTGCAGATTTTTACCAACAATGGTTGCAATTCTTCTCAACTCTGGTGAAGTCATTGGCGAAGTCAGTAGTTAAGAGGACTCTCCCATTATTCAGACAAGTAGTTCGCAAAGCTGATTGATGGTGTATACTCATGCCAGTAATTCACTAACAGAAATCGATGTTCGAACTCTAATTTGGCCACAAGTTGAAGCTTCGTGCTACTGGCACTGTATCTGTAGAAGCTTCATGTTGTTGGCGTTGTTACCGCTGATGCGAACCGGTACCTACTGCTGAATCAAAGCTTCGTGTCGTTGGAACCAATCAATTAGACAGAACCAAAGCTTAATTCCATTGGCCCCGAGGCCTCCTAAATCTGTTCCTTTTCGTTGCAGAATCTGTTCGGGATCGACATCTTTAGGCATCTGCGGAGAAAACCATCATATGTTGACCACCCTTTGTCGGAACATTATAGTGCGTATGTAGGTAAAATATTAGATTTTAGGGGATTATAACATATATTGAATACTCTTTGTCAGAGAATTTTTTCACTTCTTACAAGTTTGAACACCCTTGAGAAAATTCTCGGCTTCGCCACTGGTCGTAGGAACATCGGAAACTCAAGTCGTCTGATCCTCTTGACATTACACTTCAAATACTTCAACATATCAAAAAAATTTGGGGCAAATTCCTTGTGTAGCTTCTCAGGTATTATTTTCGAATTTCGTTTCGGATGCAGCCGTGCTCAAATTTACAGCTTTACACGCCTTCACAAAAGATTCATATCTTGGTATAGCAACGTCGAAATCACGAGCGGTTTGTGGCGTCGAGAACTAGACTTCCAGAGCTACAAAATATATAAAGATCACAATCATATTGACCATATATCTCCTAGATATTTTCTAGAAGTTCGGCAACGAGTTTCGACATGCAAGCTCCTTCAGCCTTGCGCTCTCTCCAAAATGAAACATGTTCAACAATATCTTCTTATTTTC